GTAATACAATGGTTGCTGATGACACGATAAATAAATAAATTGATGCCATGCTTTTGCCACGAAATAAATAAATCTCCCAAAATGGGAAGGGGGAGGAGCAGGGGGCGTGGCTGGAGCCTGCCAATCCCGCCTCTCCCCTCCCCGGGAGGCGGAGTCAGGGCGCCCCTTCGGCCCCGCCCTCGGAGGAGGGGGCTGCCTGGCTGCCTTGTTGTTGTCCTCCGCCTCTCTCTCGGCGCGTGGAGCTCCTTCTCTCTGTCTGTGTCTCCCCGGCCGGAGCCATGGCCCCTTCTCCGCTTCTCCTGCTCCCTCCTCGGCGCCTCTGGGTCCACTGCGCCCGCTTCTGCTCCGGGGCGGCCTCCGAGGCCCCCTCGGCCTCCCCCCCGCCGCCCCGCCCGCCCTACGGCAGCGGCCGCAAAGAGCCCGCTTCCCGCGCCTACTCCAGCAGCGCCCCGGCCCCCTCCAGCGCGGATAACAAGAGCTTCCTCTGGGCGCGCTATGGGGAGATGAAGCGCCTGGTGCAAGGTAAGCACTCCCCGCTGGAATCTCACCCCAAGGGCTAGCTTGCAGCTTCCTTCCTTTGTGGGGGAAGGGGAGGGAGGGGGGGATCCAATTCTGCAGCGTGGGTCGACACGCGTGTCACCTTACACGTCGGAATCCGCGCTTGGGATGAAGATTCTGCCTGGAGAGAAGATACTCTCAACCCCCTCCCCCTTTTCAGGAAGGCACACAAACAACATCTACAGGGCCCTTCCATACAGCCCTAGATCCCAGAATATCAAGGCAGAAAATCCCACATTATCTGCTTTGAACTGGGTTATCACAGTCAGAGGTAATTTTCAACAGTAAGCAGACAGTATTTTGGTGCCCCCCCCAACCAATCATTGATATATATTTTCTGTTCGTCATGGGAGTTCTGTGTGCCATATTTGGTTCAATTCCATCATTGGTGGAGTTCAGAATGCTCTTTGATTGTAGGTGAACTATACATCCCAGTAACTACACTTGCCGCACTTGCTCCCTTGCCTGGCCCGCTTTGTGTCCGGAGGCGTGCCTGAAGACCCCGGTGTTTGTACCAAAAGTCACCTCTTCTCCTGACTTTCTCCTCAGCCATTGGGACCAAGAGAGAGAGAGAGAGAGAGAGAGAGAGGTGGAGATGCCCACCTTTCCTGAAGGTAGGCGCAAAAACAAAGGAGGGAGCGGAGGTGGGAGATTCCTCCCGCCGGAGGGGCTCTCTCTCTCTCTCTCTCTCTCTTGGTCCCAATGGCTGAAGAGAAAGTCAGGAGAAGAGGCGACTTTTGGTGCGCACGCTGGGGTCTTCAGACACGCCTCCGGACCCGAAGTGGGCCCCACCCCTTGGCCCACCCACGGATTGGGGAGAGGAGAGGAGGCGGGTGGAGCGCCGGGGGATCGGGAAAGGGAGCCGGTCATGGGGAAGGGATCGAACGCGGAGAACGATTGAGCGCCGGCTCTGCTCGCACACCCGGTGGCCGGGTGGAGCAGGAACGAGAGGGGCTAGGTGAGGCTCAAGGGCCCGGCCCCTTTGGGAAGAGGATCACCCGGCAGCGAGGCAAGAAAGCCGAGGCTCCCCCGGACTGCTAGGGCTGTTGTGAGCTGAGGGGGTGCTCCTCAAGTGGCAGTCGAGGGGCATTTACAGAGGCGCCTCTGCGCCCCTGGCAAAAAAAGTGTTCTGCGACCGCTTACTTCGCGTAATGGACGAGCCGCCCCTGATCGCAGTCCACACTCAGGGCTCTTCCACACTGCCATATATCCCAGAATATCAAGGCAGAAAATCCCACATTATCTGTTTTGAACTGGTTTATTTCAGTCCACACTCAGGGCCCTTCCACACAGCCCTATATCCCAGAATATCAAGGCAGAAAATCCCACATTATCCGCTTTGAACTGGGTTATCGGCGACGCAGTCCACACTCAGGGCCCTTCCACACAGCCCTATATCCCAGAATATCAAGGCAGAAAATCCCACATTATCTGCTTGGAACTGGATTATCAGACAATGTGGGAATTTCCTGGCTTGATATTCTGGGATATTATTATTATTATTATTATTATTATTATTATTATTATTGGGTTGTTGTAGGTTTTTTCGGGCTGTATGGCCATGGTCTAGAGGCATTCTCTCCTGACGTTTCGCCTGCATCTATGGCAAGCATCCTCAGAGATAGTGAGGTCTGTTGGAACTAGGAAAAAGGGTTTATATATCTGTGGAATGACCAGGGTGGGACAAAGGACTCTTGTCTGCTGGAGCTAGGTGTGAATGTTTCAACTGAACACCTTGATTAGCATACAATGGGCTGACTGTGCCTGGAGCAAACTTTTGTTGAGAGGTGATTAGATGCAACAGCACAACAACAGAGAGGAAGCAGGCAGGGACATCTAATTACCTCTCAACAAAAGTTTGCTCCAGGCACAGTCAGGCCATTATATGCTAATCAAGGTGGTCAGTTGAAACATTCACACCTAGCTCCAGCAGACAAGAGTTCTTTGTCCCACCCTGGTCATTCCACAGATATATAAACCCACTTTCCTAGTTCCAATAGACCTCACTACCTCTGAGGATGCTTGCCATAGATGCAGGCGAAACGTCAGGAGAGAATGCCTCTAGAACATGACCATATAGCCCGAAAAAACCTACAACAACCAGTGATTCCGGCCATGAAAGCCTTCGACAATTATTATTATTTAGAGGGACTCAGACCGGCTAACAGCAAGGATTCATTGCTAACAATACAATCTAAAACATCGTACATCAATAATAAATTAAAATACATATAGACTAAAATACATAAAAGCCAGTTTGTCAAGATAAAATCATGTCCCAGTCAGTCCGCATATGTGGTTGATAACTTTAGTTAATTGTCAGTCTCCGCCACCATTCTGGGAATGCCTCGTTCCATAGCCAGGATTTCACTATCTTCCTGAAAGTCAGGAAGGAGGGGGCAGATCTGATCTCAGTCGGGAGGGAGTTCCAAAGTTGGGGGTCCACCACAGAAAAGACCCTATCTCTCGTCCCCACCAGACACGATTGCAAGGGTGGTGGGACCGAGAGCAGGGCCTCTCCAGAAGATCTTAACAGCCTTGATGGTTCATAGGGGAGAATACGTTCGGATAGGTAAACTGGGCCGGAACCGTATAGGGTTTTGTAGGATAAAACCAGCACTTTGAATCGTGCTCGGAAGCTAATTGGCAGCCAGTGGAGCTGGCGCAACAGAGGAGTTGTGCACTCCCTGTACCCCACTCCTGGCTGCCAAGTGTTAGACTAGTTGTAGCTTCTGGGCAGTCTTCATAGGCCACATAGAGAGCGTTGCAGTAGTCTATATGGGATGTAACCAGAGCGTGGACCACTGTGGCCAAGTCAGACTTCCCAAGGTACGGGCGCAGCTGGCGCACAAGTTTTAATTGTGCAAAAGCTCTCCCAGCCACCGCCGAGACCTGGGGTTCCAGGCTCAGCGATGAGTCCAGGATCACTCCCAAGCTGCGAACCTGCGTCTTCAGGGGGAGTGTAACCCCGTCTAACACAGGCTGTAACCCTATGCCCTGTTCGGCCTTACGACTGACCAGGATATAGGGCTGTGTGCGAGGGCCCACACTCACCCTTTCAAGCATGGATTGTAGGGCATTCCCCCCCCCCTGCATCTGGTTTGCTAATCCAGAGTCTGGATGGCCATCTGTCGGGGCTGTTTGGTTGTGCATGTGGTATATTCCATCTCGGAGTCTCCGCCCAATATACAGGATTTCAATGAAGTCTACCATTTATTGTCAAAGGCCTTCATGGCTGGAATCACTGGGTTGTAGGTTTTTCAAGCTGTACGGCCATGTTCTAGAAGCACTCTCTCCTGACGTTTCACCTGCATCTATGGCAGGCAATTTTCCAGACCTCACAACCTTTGAGGATGCCTGCCATAGATGTGGGCGAAACATCAGGAGAGAATGTTTCTAGAACATGACCATACAGCCCGAAAAACCTACAACAATCCAAGTCTACCATTTAAAAAAAAAGTATGACAAAAGTGAATGAAAAGACAAATTATTAGTACATATTGATGTGGGTTTTTGGCCTTATTGAATACACCTTTGTATGGGCACCCTTAGTTACACCAGGGACGTCAAGATGGGCCTGGATGTCCTGCCATGTTCACCATAGCATAGCCTCATCCATGATGACAATGACCTCGGTGATCTTTTGCTTTAGGTCAGTGATGCCTTGTATCTTTATTATACACAATATCTTTTAACAGACTCCCATAGAAAGAAGTCTACGGGAGTAATATCCGATGTGGCCAGAGAATTGGGCTATCCCTTCCAATCAACTGATTCTGGAAATGTTTGGTTTAGGAATTCATGAATACAGAGCCTATTATTTGGTATAGTATTTAGCTCATTTCCCTGCACTTTGGCTAGATCTCTTTTGTGTCACAGATGGATCTTCATGTGGAGTTGCTCCTTACTCTTTTTTCCTTGTCCTTTAGGGTTGGATGTTAATGGCACAAGTCTTTGTTCCCTTCCCTGGTAAATCAAGGGGTGGGTTTGTGTGCTTTCCCCTCCCCTTGTTTTTCCAGGGCTTGCCAGATGGAGGGGGGAGAAGGAGGAATGAAGAGAGAGAGAGAGAGATCTGCCGTGCTTTGTGCCTCTCTTTTGTGGGGCAGGGCTTTGGAGGAGCCCCAGGGTGGGAGGCAAACAACAGGCCACGAAAGCAAGACTCTGCAGGCATCTCCTGGGCCCAGCTACTCAGGCGGTTTTCCAGGTTCTGTGGGTGCTGATTGACAATAACATTTGCCTCATGCAATGATAATGATGATGATGATTTCAGTCCCTGGAAAGTTTACAAGGATGTTTTCAAGCTGCTACTAGCCAGGTTTGCCTTTTGCAATCTATATAAATAAAAATGTAATGTTCGTTTGTGGGATTAACATAACGCAAAAACCACTGGGCGAATTGACACCAAATTTGGACACAAGAAACCTAATAGACCAACAAGTGACCATCCTCATAAAAACCAAAAAAAACAGCTGAAAGGACTTAAAAACCCAAAAAAGCTAAATGGCAAAAAGCTAAATGATGATACAGAAAAAAGGAAGGGGGAAAAGAAAGAAAGAGAGAGAAAGATGGAGGGAGGGAAAGAAAGAAGGAAATGGAAGCAAAGAGTGAAGGAAGGAAGGAAAGAGGTAGAGAAGGAAGAAAGGAGTAAAAAAGGAAGGAAAAAAAAGGGAAGGAAGGAAAGATGGAGAGAAGGAAGGAAGGAGAAAAAAAGGGAAGGAGGAAAGAGGGAGGAAGGAAGGAGGAAAAGAAGAAAAGAGGGAAGGAAGGAAAGAAGCAAAGAGAGAAAGAAGGAAGGATGGAAGAAGGTAGAGAAGGAAGAAACGAGAGAAAGAGAAGGAAAAGAAAAAGGGGGGAAGGAAGGAAAGAGGTAGAGAAGGAAGGAAGAAAGAAGGAAAGAGGAGGGAAGGAAGGAGAGAAAGGGAAGGAAGGAAAGAAGAAAGAGAGAAGGAAGGAAGGAGGAAGAA